GGGACCCCTAGTCCACTCCTCCCTGTGTTCAGGTAGGGAAAGGCAGACCTGGAGGGGAAGCGGTGTGGGGTGCTCCCAACCCTGTCCCGTGCTCTGCTCTGCGAATGAGGCAGTGTGGAGAGAGGAGACAGGGCAGGTTGGGGTGGTGGGGCTCACCCAGCCCCTTCCCTCCTGAGTCCTGGGCCCCTGAGGCAAATGTCCTGCTGGGCTTCAGTAGCCAGAGAAGCGCCCTAGGAAGACTTACCTGGGCAGGAGCTGTGTCCCCATCTTACAGTGGAAATAACTGAGGTTTAGGGAAGTGACAGGAGTTGTTCAAGGTCACAGGACTAAGAAGTGACAAAGCTGGCCTTCCAGCCACGGAAGCCATACTCTAGCCATTATGCCCAGAGACCAGGAGAGGTTGTCCACTCCCTCACCCAGTGCATTCACTGAGCCCCTATTGTGTGCCTTCTGCTCCCAGCCCCAGTAAGTGCCTAGGGAAGCCAAAGGAGTAATCGAGTCATCGAAGAAAAGACTGAGGTCATGGCCAAGGATACCTGTTAGGAAGAAAATAAAACAGAGTTATTGGGCCAGAGAGAGAGACTGGGGTGGGGCCTGAGCCTTAGCCTGGTAAGGGAGGGTCAGAGAGGCTGTCACTGGCTGTGATGCAGTGACAAGGCAGGAGCCCGCTGAAAAGTCCTGAGGGAACAGCAGATGCGAGGCCCCTGAGGCAGACACAGGTGGTGGGTGGGAGGAGCTGGAACAGCCAGTGAGGAGCGCTGTGAAGTTTGGGTTCTTCTCTGGGTGTGATGAAGCACAGTCCCAGTGGGAGGGGGAAGGAGGGTGAGATTAGAGTTTGTGTACTGCAAGGATGCCATCCCCACCCCAGGGGGGTAGAGAGGACTTGGGGGCAGGTCAGGGAGGAGGCTGCTGGAGTCCACCAAGGATTTTCGAGGAGGAGCGAGCCTGCCCGATGTGGAGTCACCTACACTCTGGTGGGGCTGCAGTCACGTGCATGCTTCCTCCCTCCTCACAGGGCCAGGAGGGCATGAGGAGGGGGTAGCGTTCTGCAAGTGGTGGGGGTGCCAGCGGTAGTGGACAGAGGAGTCTGGGCTCAAGCACTCCCCGCCCCCCCGACATGTCCCCAGCGGGCCCCTGCTGCTCCCAGACCCCCCGGTGTCCTGTGGAATCGGGGCACCTGCCGGGAGTTTTGAAAGATAAGACAGGGTGCGGCTGGTTGCTTGGGCTGGGTGTTCAGGCTGGTGTCTCTTTTGCCATGTCCCCAGAAGTCTTTGCGGGTTGTTCCGGCTCTCACTTGTATTTTTTTTTTCTTTCATAGTTTATTGTCAAGTTGGTTTCCATATAACACCCAGTGCTTGTATTTTGACCCAGACCTAGAGTCAGCTGCTTCTCCAAGATGCCTCGTGCCTTGGAGTGGGGATGGGCTTCAGAAACTAGGATCTAGACTTTAGATGGGCTCAGTGCATCCTTGGCGTCATTGTCTCTAGAACTTCTCAGTGCACCGGGGCAAGAAATCAGGGTTTTTTTTAACTAAAAATTAATATTTTCATCTTCCTCCCACAGTAAGAACCTGGTTCTCCCCCAAATATCGGTAATCATTTGCTTAGTCTTAGAATATATCCCAAAGAGTTTTAGAGTCACTACATCCAAACCACTGCCTACCAAAACCTATCAGGTCAAGTTCAGGATATCTTTGGGCGTGTAGTCGGCCCTGTGTGAGCATGTTATCAGTTTGTTTATACCAATAGCTTCAGCTACTTCTGTTTGCATGAGATTTGGGTTCTTTTCCTTGTTAGTGTTTATGATATAATTTTATTTTTTGAGTACGTAAAACATTTACATGACTCAGTGTCAAAACTTTTTTTAAAAAGCTATCCTGAGACGTCTCAATCCAGTCCCTGTTTCTTCCTCCTTGTTCCCACACTGGGTGTAAGCACTTGAAACCGTTTCTGGCTTATCCTTCCTGGGTTTCTCTTGCAAAATAAGGCATTTATGGGTTATCACAAAAATTAACATATCCACCACTGCTTTTGCACCTTGCTTTTTGCAATTAAAAATACCTCCTTACCTGTTCATAGAGACTTTCCTCATTGTTTCGTACAAGGACCTACTCTATCGAGGGCTGTATCACACTCAGCTCGTGCCCTGCAGAGGGACATTCGGTTTTTTCCAGGTCTTTGTTGTTACAAACAGTAGGTTAAGGGTAGCCTCACACACATGTTGTTTGCATTTGTGAAGGTGTATCTTTAATTCCTAGGAGTAAATATGTATTTATTTTCTTAGCTACTCCCAAATTCCCCTCTCCCCCAGCAACGAACAGCTGTTGATTCCTCTTCAACCTCGCAGCTCTCAGAGCCAGGAAATTGTATTTCAGTGTGTTTTAATTTACATTTCTATTACGAATGCAGTTGGACATCTTTGTATACGGTTTCAAGTCACTTGACTATCTTTTTCTGTGAATCGCCTGTCTGTCTCTGTTGCCCACTTCCTATTGGATTTTTGGTCTTTTTTTCCTCCTTGGATTTAAGTTTGTTTAAATATATACATTAGTGCTTTATCTATTATTATTTTTTTTGCAAATGTGGACTCCAGTTTTCTTTTTATTTAGTTTATGGCAGGTTTTGCCATTAAAAGCTTTCTATTTTTATATAGTTGATTTAATTATTCTTTGATTGGATCTAGATTTTGAATCCTAATTTAGAAAGGCTGTTCTTACACCCAATTGTATGGAATCTACCTTGTTTTCTTTTTTTCTTAAGTTCACTTATTTTGGGAGAGAGAGTGAGTAAGCAGCCATCAACACAGAGCCCGATGCAGGGTTTGAACTTATGAATCCTGAGATCATGACCCGAGCCGAAGTCGGACGCTTCACCAACTGAGCCACCCAGAAGCCCCTAACCGTGTTTTCTAATGTGTGTTTGGTTTATGGATCTGACTGAATCTTTTTCCAAATGTCTCTCTATCCCAACACTATGTATTGAAGAAGCCGTCTTTTCCCCAGTGGTCTGAAATGCACCTGTGTCATATAATAAACACCCAAATGCATTGGACCTATTTCTGGGCTTTCCAGTCTGTCTCACTAGCTCTGTCTCTTCGTGTGTGGGTCCCCTATGGTGGGCATTGTAAAGGCATCATTATGGTGCACATGTGTGCAAACGGCAAGAAGAGAGCTTCATTCACAGTCGTTGGAGTAGGAGGGAGAGATGGAACTCCACTCCCATTACTGTGAGTATCTGGTAGGGTTAGACCTTCTTTGTCTGCTTTCATGTCAGGGTGTCCTAAACATCCCTGCGTGTGGCCGCTATCTTTCGCTGGGATCACGTCACATTGACAGACGAACTTCAGGGTAATTGACACCGTTATCAAGTTGAGCCATCTTATCCAAAACCAAGGAACGTCTTTCTGTGTGCTCGAGACTACTTAGTCTTTTATTTGTCGAAGACCACTTTCAGGAGCGTGTTGAAGTTTTCCCTCACATGTTTTTGTAAGTTTATTCATGAGGACTTGGCTTTGTTTGTTGCTATTATATATTTTTTTCTTCCATCCTATCTTGAACGTGTGTGTGTGCGCGCTGTTTTGTGTGCACCTACGTCACTGAATTTATTTTGTTGTTAGTTTCAGCATTAATCATTTTAGAGAGTTTAAGTATTCTGTCATCTGAAACTTGAAATAGTTTGATTTCTTTACTGATGTTTATGCATCTGCTGACTTTCTCTTATCTAATTAAATTGGCTAAATACCTCCCATTCAATATTTTTTTATTTTTTTAAGTTTTTGTTTATTGGGGCTCCTGTATGGCTCAGTTGGTTAAGCATCTGACTTTGGCACAGGTCATGATCTCATGGCTCATGAGTTTGAGCTCCATGTCAGGCTCTGTGCAGACAGCTTGGAGCCTGGAGCCTGCTTGGGATTCTGTGTCTCCCTGTCTCTCTTCCCTTCCTCCCCCCAAAATAAACATTTTAGAAATTTAAAAAAACATGTTAGTTTTTATTTATTAATTGAGACAGAGAATAAGTGGGGAAGGGGCAGAGAGAGAAGGAGAGAGAAAATCCCAAGCAGGCTCCGCAGTGTCAGCACGCAGCCCCATGTGGGGCTCAAACTCCAGAACTGTGAGATCATAACCTGAGCCAAAATCAAAAGTTGGACATTCAACCGACTGAGCCACCCTGGCTCCCTTCCCTTTCAATATTAAATGTTATTTATAACGGGCCTCCTTCCCTTGTTCCTGGGGTATTAAAAAGTTCTCTAGTACTTCTCCCGTTATGAGAGATGCTGACGTCAGCCACTCACATCCCCACAAACCAAAACAAAAACCAACCAAGATGTTACATGGAAGGTGATGGATGATACACATCCATCCTTTGGCCACATTTGTGAACGTGTATTGTGTTGGCTGATCACTGGCCTGTTCTAGTGTTAGTTTTCCTCATTTATTGTACAAATTGTCATATAGTCAATTTAAAATTTTAGGTAATAGAGGCTTTCTATCTTTTAAATTATTGTGACCTAAAGTCAATTCAGATTATGTGGTTTTAACACTTGTGCAACACAAAAGTGAATAAAACATTCTTCCTCGCATGTCAAAGGGGGGGGGGGGTTACTGACTTTAGGAAAGAGGATAGGGAGATATATGTATATATGTGTGGGGGTACACATTAATTCCTATTTTATTGGGTGGTTTCTTAAGATCAGGAATGAATATTGATTTTCACTGAAGACGTATATGGAGATAATTATGTAATATTTCTCCTAGCACTGTTAATAAGATGATTCTTTTATTTTTATTTTTTAAAAAATTTTAATGTTTATTTTTGAGAGAGAGAGAGTAAGCGGGGGAGAAGCAGAGAGAGAAGAGACACAGAATTTGAAGCAGGCTCCAGGCTCTGAGCTGTCAGCACAGAGCCTGATGCAGGGCTCAAACCCATGAACCAAGAGATCATGACCTGAGCCAAAGTCGGATGCCTAACCAACTAAACCACCCAGGTGCCCTCCCTTTTTTTTTAAATACAGAAGGCTTCATGAATTTGCCTGTTTCCTTGCACAAGGACCATTTTAATCTTCTCTGTAGCATTTCAACTTTAGTATATATGCTGCCAAAGTGTGCGCGATAAGATGGATCATGTTAATGAATTTCCTAATACCAGGTCCAGAATGAGAGGACAAGGCAAATAGTAAGACACAAAGTTTATTAAATATTTATTAAGCTATCCTTGCCTTCCTGAAATGGAAGCCACTTGGGCATGATATATTATGTTTCAATATCGTTGTGTTAAACATCTACGGCTGTAAAGTAAGTTATCATCAACTTAGCTTAGAACAGCACACATCTATTATCTCATAGTGTCTGTGGATCCAGGTGTGGCTTTGATGGCTTCTTACTGGTGTTGGCCAGGACTGAGCTCTCATCTAGAGGTTCAGGTAAGAAGGGATCTGCTTTTCTACCTATGTGGTTGCCAGCAGCACTCACCTTTTTTTTTTACTTGCAGGACTGAGAGCTTATTGCCATATTCTGTTGGTTAGAGGAAAGTCAGTGGTTCCATCCACACTCAAGGGCACGAATGCCAGGAGATAGGGATGGTAGGTGCCTTGGTCTGTCCAGCACAGTGGTGTTAGATTCAGTTTGCTGATATTTAGTTTTACTAGTTTTCCTAGTCATTCCTTGGTTTGATAAAGTGTGACTTCTGACGGGTTCTTCAAGAAGGATGCATGAGTATGACATTTCCTGATTCATTTCATGTTGAAATTGTTTTCTGTCCTCTTGATACCTGAAGGATAGTTTGGCTGGTTATAAAATCCTGGCTCACAGGATGTTTTCCCTGAATTTGTTATAATGTTGCTCTGGGTTGTATTGCTTACATGCTGTTGACAAGAAGTCTCATATAAACACGCTTTTCTTCCTTTTATGAGTGACTCATGAGTCCTAGAGCTCCAAAAGGTTTTTTTCTTTACCTTTAAAGTCTAATCATTTTAGGGGCGCCTGGGTGGCTTAGTCAGTTAAGCGTCGGACTTTCGCTTAGGTCATGATCTCGCGGTTCATGGGTTAGAGCCTCACGTCTGGCTCTGTGCTGACTGCCAGCTCAGAGCCTGGAGCCTGTTTCAGTCTGTGACTCCCTCTCTCTCTGACCCTTCCCTGCTCACGCTGTCTCTCTCTCTCCTAGAAATAAATGAATAAATCTTTTCATTCATTTTCTCAATGAGCTTTATTAAAATTTCAGTCAAATCTATTCTCCTTAAAAGAGCATTGAGATTAGTGTTTATTTCTGAGATGATGTTGTGATTTTCATTTTCTCTCCTGAGTTTGGGAATTCTAGTTTCGTGTGTACCTTTTTTGTCTGTTTCCGTTTCTGTTTTGAGTTTTCAAATTTATATGTAAGGTATTTTGTCATGTGTCAGAATGCTTTCATGAGGCCATTCAAGTCAGAATGCTATGTTACATTGTTTCCCTGTAAATTGGCTGGTGGGGAGAATGATTGTCGGCTCCTTACATTGCTTCTGTATGGGTATAGTTTGTTACCCTCTGTTAACTTAGAAGTGTCCTGGGGCGCCTGGGTGGCTTGGTCAGTTAAGCGTCTGAGGAGTGATTTTGGCTTAGGTCATGATCTCATGGTTCATGGGGTTGAGCCCTGTGTTGGGCTGTAGGCTGACAGCATGGAGCCTGCTACGATTCTCTCTCTCCCTCTCTCTCTGCCTCTCCCCACCCCTCTCAAAATAAGTAAATAAACTTTAAAAAAGAATAAGAAATGTCTTTATGTTTGCAGGTAGTGGGAATAATAGAGCAATCATGGAATGGCCTTGGGGATTTGGGTAACATCAGGTTTCTTAGTTCAGAAGTGCCCTCTTCTGTTGGTTTAAGGAAGTGCATTATCCTTATTTGGAGTCTTACCGGGTGTGGGATGGTTTGGTGTCTGCTGAATTTACCATTCACTTTTGCTTCTATAGCAAAACCCTTGAATTCCCCATGCTACTTTTTTCCCCCATCCATTTACCCCCAACCCTCTATGGGCCTCCTCCTCTGAGCCACATCCTGTAGAAGCAGGACCTTTCCAAGACATCCAACCGGGGTCCTGCACACCTTCTGTCCCTTGTGTATTCCCCCAGATTCCAGGGCTGCCTCTCACCTGGCCTAGGATCTGCTCTCAGAACTGCCCCACTCTAGGGGGACTTTCTCCTTCTGGTGTCATTGTGTCTAAATTCTTGGCCCCAGTCCACTGCTCCTCTCCCCTCCCCCCCGCCCCATCTCTGCTCAACCTGCCACACCAGCGCAGTTCTCTGGAGCCGACTCTGCAGGTGGGGTTCCTTGCCTCATGCACCCCAACTGCAGGTGGGCAGCGGCCTGGTGTCCTGCTCACGCTCTAGGCCCGAGCGTGAGTGGTTTTATTTGCACTCTCAGTTGATCTGAGGTTTGCCTTTGGGTGGCTGCCATTATCTACAGGGACCTGGAGATGTCCCCAGGCTTTTTTCTCAGAAAGCTTCATAGGGATTGGTGTGCACCCCACCTCAATCCATCCCTCCTCAACATCTGGCAGTGTGTGTTTCATCTCAGTGCTCGTAACCTTAGCTGAACTATTTAAGAGTAGGTGTATCAGTACCTCCTTAGAACAAAGATGTTCTACAAACCTCAGGTCAGGGTGTCACACCCAAGAAACAATATTAACACAAAAACATTTCTCATTAACAGTCCATATTCAGCTTTTCCCAGTGGCCCCAGTGATGTCCTTTTGGGCCTTATTTTACATCAGTGATCAAGAGTTGCATTTGTGTGTCATGTTTATTAAAGTCTTGTAATCTAGCGCAGTCCCTCCATGTCATTTGTCTGTCTTTCCTGGCATCATTTTGAAAACTCCACGTCAGTTTTCTCCCATAGTCTGGATTTGTGGGACTCTTTCCTCAAAACTCGATTCAGCCTAAGTGTTTTAGGTTGAAGTTGTTTTAAAATTACAGACAAGGTGGGGGGTGTGGGTGACTCAGACAGTTAAGGGTCAGGCTGTTGATCTTGGCTCAAGGCGTGATTTCATAGTTGTGAGGCCAAGCCCCACGTTGGGCTCTGCGCTGACAGCATAAAGCCTGCATGGGATTCTGTCTCCCTTTCTCTCTGCCCTTTCTCCACTCATGCTCTCTCTCTTTCTCTCTCAAAATAAATAAATACACATTTATAAAAAAATAAAATAAAATAGGGCACCTGGGTGGCTCAGTTGGTTAAATGTCTGACTTCAGCTCAGATCATGATCTTGCGGTTCGTGATTTCGAGCCCTACGTCAGACTCTGTGCTGACAGCTCAGGGCCTGAAGCCTGCTTCAGATTCTGTGCCTCCCTCTCCCTCTGCCCCTCCCCCGCTCGGGATCTGTGTCTCTCTCTCTCTCCCAGCAATAAATATTTAAAAAAAAATGTTAATAAATAAAATAAAGTTACAGACAGGGATGCATACCTAAGAAGAGAAGTGGAGTGCCACCTTCCGCCAGCCCACCCTGCACCCTTCTGGGGGCTGGGCAGGGGCCAGCAGCAGCGTGGGGAGGGGCTGTTGCAGGGAGAGGCTGAGGCCCTGGGGCTGCAGGCTTTACTGGGCTGCCTTGCGGTACTGTTGGGTTCTGGTCTCAGTTTCCTTTCCCACCCTCCTGCCATCCTTCCTGGTCCCCTTCCTGTCACTGTCACTGTGCCCTCCCAGGGGGCTGTCTGGCCTGTGCACCAGGCTCTGCCTTAGTGGGACCTTTCTTTCGGGAAAGATGCTCACCATTTCATGCAGACCCCACAAAGATCCCTCAAGGAACCAGAGGTAGCTGAAGACTCCCACGTCACCCATACCGGGGTTTGAACTCCCTGCTTCCTTGGGGGGACTCCTCTTACACTCCCAGGATCACCCTGGGTCCAGACACAAAAGGGGGCTCATAATGGCAGGGTCTGGTACAGAGGAGGCATCCGCTGTGTGTCCATTTCCTTCCCTTCCTGGAGACCCAGCACATGTGCGTCATCTTCAGTAGTAATAGCAGAGCGGGACCTGGCTCTCCTTTCCTGACAGAGCTCCCTCTCTTGCACGTCATGTCTGTCTCCATGACTTCCTTTTTTTTTTTTATTGTCTCTTCCTTATGATTTTCCTTTTTTTTTTTTTTACAAATAGTTTATTGTCAAATTAGTTTCCACATAACACTCAGTGCTCATCCCCACAAGTGTCCTCCTCCATGCCCACATGACTTCCTTTTTTTAAAGTCTATTTATTTATTTTGAGAAAGAGAGAGAAACAGACCCCGACATGGCGCTCCAACTCACAAACCGAGATTATGACCTGAGCAAACCAAGAGTCGGATGCTTAACTGACTAAGCCACCCAGGCACCCCTGCCTCCATTACTTGCTGAACTCGGCCAGGAAGAGTTTTATGGACTAATCAGTGAAAGGACCATGACTGGGCAGGGGCAGGGGGAGGGACTCAGTCTTATTATTTTGGGGGAAAACTAACACAGGCTCCAGTATTGCCAGTTAATGGCCTTTCCATCCTGCACCAGGATCGCCCTAATTGGTGGATTCCTGCTTCACTCAGAACAGACCTCGCCAAGGGCAGGAAGGAGCAAAATTTTGAAATCAGCACAATAGTGCTCCCTGCAGAGTAATGAGTTCCTTGATTTATTTGGTCAGTAAGTTGTTCATTTGTTGTTGTTAGTTTATTTATTTATTTTGAGAGAGGGGTGGGGAGGAGCAGAGAGGGAGGGAGAGATAATTCCAAGCAGGCTCCTCGCTGTCAGCACAGAGCCCGACGCGGGGCTTGAACCCACAACTGCATGATCATGACCTGAGCCAAAGTCAAGAGTCCGATGCTCAACCAACTGAGCCACCCAGGCACCCCATTCTCTCATGTTGCAGAGCAGATGGAGGTTGCTGTGAGACGTTCCTGAGGCCACAGGTACACAGTGATCCTGCGTGGGTGCTCCAAGCATCAGAGAGAAGTGTTCCTTTTATTAATATTATTCAGCCAAACTCTGTTGCTTTTGAATGCTGTTTGGATTTAAAAACAAACAAATGAACAGGACACCTAGATGGCTCAGTCAGTTAAGTATCTGACTCTTGATTTCAGCTCAGGTCATGATCTTACGGTTTCCTGAGTCTGAGCCTCAT